TTTTAAAGGTAGGTCTCTGAACCATTCTGAGTTATTTTTTGGCATGTGGTGCAAGATAAGGCTCTAGTTTTTTCTCCTCCCTTTCCCTCCCCGCCCTTCCTAGAATGAATGGGGAAGTGTTCCTTCCATTTCCTGGAAGAGTTTGTGTTGAATTACTCTTTAATTCTTTATGAAACAGCAGAATTCACCAGTGAAGCCACCAAGGTTTAGCATTTTGTGTGTGTGGAAAGAGCTTCAGTATGAATACAGTTTCTGTAACAGATACAGGGCTACTTAGGTTTCTTATTTTTGAATGAGCTTTGGTGATTTGTGTCTTTCAAAGAATTTGTTCATATCTACATTTTCAAATTTATTGGCATAAGGTTTTTCTTAATATCTTCTCACCCTTTTAAGTTCTGCTGTAGAGTCTGTCGGTATCCCTTCTTCAGTTCCTGCCATTGAAGATGTCTGTTTTCTGTTTTCTTGATCATGTTAGCTAGAGGTTATCAATTTTGTTATCTCTGTAAGGAACCAGCTTTTGGTTTCATTGATTTTCCTCTAATATTTTTGTTTTCTGCTCATATCTGCTTGTTTTAGGTTTACTTGCTCTTCTTTTTCTAGCTCTTAAAGTGGAAGCTCAGACAGGTAATAGTATATTTCCAATTCCCCATCCAAACCTTTATTTTATAGTATCATTTACTTTACATTTGTTATGACCCAGAATACATTGTTATTATCTTTGTTATAGGTAATTATATTTTCTTTATGTATTTATCAACATTTTTACTGTTTACAACCTTCATTCCTTTTTGTGGCTCTGAGTTCCCATCTGTTATTTTCCTTCTGCCCAAAGAACATTCTTGGATTTTTTTTGTAGTGCAGATTTGCTGATGGTGAATTTTGCCAGCTTTGCTGAATGTTGAATTCTTAAGCTGACAGTTCCAGTATTTTAAGGATATCATTCTCCTGCCTTCTGAGTTGTTTTTTTTTTCCTTGCAAGAAGTTAATGGTAATTCTTTGTTCTACTTTATGCGATGTATGTTTTTTTCTCTGTTGTCTTTTAAGATTGTCTCTGTCACACAGTTTTTAGCAGTTTGATTATGGTGTGCTTTGATGTGGTTTTCTTTCTGTTTCTCTCTTGGGGTTTATTGAGCTTTCTGGAGCTGTGAGTTACGATTTTCATCAAATTTAGAAGTAACTGATGAACACTTCTTTAAATACTGTGTTTGTAACCCCTCTCCGGGACTCCAGTTACATATGTGAATATTAACATCTGTTACGTATGTATTACCTCTACATATGAATGGGACCTCCAGGGGGTCACAGGGCTCTGTTCCCTCTTCTTTCTGTGCTTCACTGTGGGTAATTCTGTTTCTACAGCATTTGGCTGACTCTGAGGCTCATCCAGTGAAGTGTTCGTTTCAGATATTATGCCTTTTGGCTGTTGCTGTTCTGTTTGCTACTTTTTTAATCTTTTCTATTTCTTCCCTCATGTGGATGATTTCCTCTGAATCTCAGCACCTCTTTCTCACGGCTGACTTAGTGTCCACCTGCAGCTCCCCACTGGGCCCTGAGCCCCTTGTCCCGGCCCAGCACCTGCCCGCCATCCGGTGGGGCTCCAGCCCGCACGTCTGCCAGAGCCGGCACCTTCCAGTCCTGCCTCCTGTACTCCCGGCTGCCTGCCTTCCTGGTCTACACTCTCCCGCTCCTCTGTCTTCCTGTCCCTGCCCTGCTCATCTTCCAGTCCCAGCGAGACACCTGTCACCTGCTAGCTGTGGGGCTGCAGCAGTGACTTAGCCCACGGGCCTGTTTGTTCTTTGAAGCGGGGCTGTGTGCCCCACGGAGCTGTGCTGGACTGGCTGAGCAGTGTGTGCGTGGCCTCAGTGGCCTCAGTCCCGTTTTCCTGTATTGTAATGTGGGCGTTGGCAAACCAGGCCTGGGAGCCAAAGCCCTCTCTGGGCGTTTTTGTGTAGCCTTGAGCTGAGAATGGTTTTTACATTTTTAAAGAGCTGTTAAAAAAATAATTAAATAAAACAGTATGGGACAGAGACCTCGAGCCCACAGTCCCGGTACTTACTGCCTACCCCTTTACAGAGAGAGTTTGCCAGCCCTTGGTCTACAAGCTCATCTTGGCAGGCATTGTGTTTTTCCTGCCTTTAAGTTTAAAATTTGCACAGAGTGTAATTTCCAGTGTGCTGTAAATATTGACTTTTAAAGGAGAAAGTATTATATTACTCTTTAAAATGTTTTCGGTAGGCTCTAAATACCATGGATACACCCACCATCATGCATTTTAAAAAAAGATACGAGCAAGCTCTACTTTAACGGTTGGAAATGTTCCTTGCTGCTTTTTCTCCTTGCGCTCATATTTTATTTCACTTATCTCATAGAATTTTATCCTAACGTAAGCATTTTTCTGCTTATGCGAATGTTTTCAGCGCCATAATCTTCTGTAACTATATGCATGTATTTAGTTACTGAAGTTCTGTGACTGTAAGACCCTTGGGTATTGGGCGTTTTCTTTTGAATGATTGTTGCAGTTGTTATTTGTACCAGCTCCTGGCTCCTGGCTTTCCTCTGTTGTGGCCGCTGTTCCTCCTGTCCCATCTCCTGACCCCTCTAAGTTGGGGTACCCCAGGGCTTTGTCCTGTCCTTGGACCTCCACAGTCAGGTCCCTGGGGACCTCACCAGCTCATGAAATCTGGGTGCTTCTGTACACAGCTTCCAAACTGCTCTCACCCAGCCTCGATCTCCCTCCTACACTCCAGAAAGATATGTTGGCTGCCAGTCAGTGTCTCCACTTGTATGTTGCCATGAAATCTCAAATTAACACGTCCAGTGTTGAGCTTTGCACAGCTGTGCCCTTTGCAGTCATTTCATCTCAAGGTGGCAGTTCTGCCCTTTCCATTGCAGGGTCAGAGATCCCTGCAGTTCTTTGACTCCTTTCCCCACCCTAGTCTGTTAGCAGATCCTGGTGTTGATACCATCAGAGCATCACCACTTGAGCGGCTCCCACCCTGGTCCTAAGCAACATGATTTCTGACCTGGGTTATTGTAACAAATAGCCTCCGGGGTCTCCTGCCCTGTGATTGTGTCTCTGATCCTGTCCCTCCACTGCTCAGACCCCTTGGGTTCCCCGTCTTCCTGAGTAGAAGCCAGCACACTCACAGTGACCTGCCAGGCTGGCCTGGCATCTCTTCAGCCTCAGCTCCAACTTCCCCTGCCTTGATCAGTAGGCAGAACCAGTTCTAATTGTGAGACCGCTCTCTCTCAGATGAAGTCTTACTTTTTTAAAAATTGTAAGATGTGCCTCCGACAGTCATCTCACCTCCGAGTTTAATTCCTGGTGGCAGGTGTGATGTGGAGCTGGTCGCCTGCTGGAGGAGGGCACCGTGCCTGTTGCATATTGGCTCCCTCTTTGCTTGCTTGTTGTGGGGGTGATGCATTGTTTTACTAAATGATTGAAGTTACCAGGTGAAATCTTAATCACCCCTGCCATCAGACTCCACAGTATGTCTGAATTGGAGACATTCCACCGTGAAGTGGGCCATCTTATTTTTAATGCCATGCTTTGCCCTTAACAGTGGGTGTAAGATAAGGAAAAGCACAGCCTGCACAGTGCCTCAGTTCCAGGAGCTTTGCTGTGACCTTGCGTCGCGCCTGGGTGCAGTGCATCGTAGTCAGAGGATAGGTCAGAAGCAGGCCTCCTTTTACAAGTGGGAGAAAGGTCGGGGGTGCAGCTGGCATGACTCCTTGACCTCATGACTGCTGTTGGACTGATTCACTTTACCGTAGCGTATCATGGACACTGGCCATCTAGAAACGGCCAGTCTGTACCCACATGCCCCTTGGACAGTCTGTTCTCCAGAGATACCCATAACCTGATGGGAGGCGCTGGCATGTGGTTCCCAAGAGGCAGGAGGGGTGGGCTCCAGGGCTTCCAAAAGGGAAGGGCGACTTGAGCAGTAACACGATGATGATGCCAGTTTTAACTGCTGGGCAGACTTGAATGTTGACATAATCTCAAACCTCTGAAAGAAGAAATTGTTTTTAGTGATGATTTGTTTGAGACTAATAACAGCTATAAAAAGCTGAGGGAAGTGATAAAACGTAGTATTGCTGATTTGCCCACGATGATAAATATTTTAGAGGAAGTTGAACCTGCATTTTAAAGGTGGTGGTAATTTTGTCAGATTGTGAAGTTTGGAGGAGCTTCCAGGCTGGAATGCCCCAGCAGGGCGTGTAGCCCAGCCAGGCTCACCCTCAGGCCAGCTCGAGGGTGGAGAGGCAGAGTGGGGGGCACAGTCAGGGGAGCTGGACTGAGCTGTGGGGTCTGCAGACCTGGGGGCAGTGGGGCAGCGCTGCTCCAATCCTGGACGTTCTGTGAACCCGCCAGCCCCTTTCCGGATGGCCCAATCTGTTCTGAAGGCTGTACTGAGCACTCAGCCAGCCAGCCCAGTGCTGTTGACCATCCATGAGACAGCGACTTTGTCTGATTCACTGTTGTGTCCCCGGGATCCAGAGCAGCGCCTGGCAGAGGGTCCATGCTAAGGAAATGTTTGTTGAATGACTAGAAGCCATGTGCCAGGCGCTGGGGAAAAAGCAGTCCACACACGTCCGCCTTCCCCTTGGAACTGTTGATCTCATGGGGAGATGAACAACGGACAGATGACCAAGCGCTTAAGCAGGATGGTTACCTATCATGGGGGGTGTGCTGGGAGCTGCAGTGGGAATAGGATGGGGCGATGGGAGAGCTGGGCTGCTCCTGAGACGAGGAGGGAGGGAGCCAGTCCTCCCCGAGGGCCAGGGCCAGCGAGGAGGGACGCAGGCAGGCCAGAGTGGGGCTGATTCAGAGTACTTGCATCAGGGTGACTTTGGTGAAAGGACAAAGGAACCCTGCAGTCCTATTTTTAAAAATTCTTAATTCTCTGTATTTGCCGTATCCTAACATAGTACTTGCCTTTTGTTTCCTTTTTTTTAATTTAAAGGATTTTTTTGTTTTGTTTTGTGTTTTTTGATAGATGAGGGTTACTACCAGGGTGGAAAATTTCAGTTTGAAACTGAAGTTCCCGATGCGTACAACATGGTGGTGAGTAGCCCGCGTTTGAGCCGCTGGTCCCCCTTCGCGTAGTGTGGCGCGTGGTCCCCCGCATCGTGCGTGCCGCCCACCCAGTCCTGGAACTGAGCCTGAAATGGCTGGTGCTTCTGTGGTTGATGCCCTTCGTCAGCGGTAGTTAGAGGTTTAGGAGAATCCAAGCGCGGTGTGCCGGGCAGCTGCGCTGGGTGCAGCTCTGTCAGGTGAGATTACTGTCCCGAGACCGGGGCGTCCGGGGAGCTGCCTGTGCACTTCGCGCACACCTTATTTCAGTTCTGGCACTGACTGAAGGAGAGAGCGCCGTAGTGAAACCTGTACTTGTGTTTATGGTATAACACCAAAATTCCAGAAGTGTATAAAACGTGCATCTTAGAATTCTGGAAAAAAAAATGACGTGTAGTTTTAGACTCTGAGTAATTTACACCCCTAGCTACACGTCGACCCCGCCAGGACCCTCCTGGTAATGACTGTCCCACGCACCATGACCTTCTGTCTTTGCTTTTAAGGAAGGTGCTGACCAGTTTGGAAGGTGAGAGAAAGTGTAGAAAGTTATAAAACGATAAAAGTGGTAAGTAACAGACAGTAGAGATACTGTCAGTGACAGGAAGCTACTTTAGGGGAATTCGAAGGACAGAGAGGGTCAGTTTTGTAGTTGGGACCGGGTAAGGCGAGCTAGATTTGAAGTTGTCCTGAGTGGGGAGGGCGCCCCAGAGAACGAGGAAATCACTCGCCATGGCAACGGTAGACAGACCAGCCGGCCTGAATGACGAGTCGGGGTCTGGGAACAGTGGGCAAATGAGAACACAGGTTCGGGGGTTTTGTTGGGCATTTTCCCTCTGGCAGTGAGGCGCCATCGAGGGTCCCGGGCGACTCCGCACACCCCCGAGCGGCGCGCTGGGGAGGCCGTGGTGCACCCCGTGAGCCTCGCAGCTGCTGAACTGCTGGGTTCTGCTGATTGTGCGTGCATGTGTTTCCCCTGGTGTTTCTTAACCTTCTCTAGGCCTGTCCAAAGGGGAGGGAAATACGATGGTAAAGTTAAGTCTCTTGTTAACCTGGGACTGTGGGAATTGGGCACATGCGTGCCGTGACGGTCCCTGCGGTAACTGCTCCTCCGCTCTGACAATGGAGTTGCCCACCCCCGGCTCCTGGCCCCACCACCGGGTGTAGTTCAGTGGCTGGAACACTTTTTTGTTTAAATCCAAACTTTTATCTCTGAAAATTGATCTTCACTGGGCTAGTACATTAAAAGTTCTTTTGGAAATGTCATTTATGAGGATGGAGAAGAGTTGGCAAGCCAAGAAGCCCCCCCTCGAAATTTAATTTTTAAGCAAAGAGGAAAATACGCATTTCAGGTCTTTGTCCACCCATCCCTCCAGCTACCTGCTGAGATGTCCCCTGTTTCCCTAATCACAAGCGGGGACAGGCCTGACAGAGCACTGCACTCTCAGGTGAGAGAAGTTTGAGACCTTGATTTATGTGCACATATTTAGAATTTGGGTCTATTTTGATGGCTTCTGGAAACTATCAGACATACAGTACTGAAAACTCTAGACTCTAACTTTCTGGACGTACTCCATCTCTGTGGATTACTCATCTGAAGAATGTTAAAACAAAAGGGTAAAGAGTCTGTGACACAGTCTTGGGGAAAGCGGTGAATTTTGGGGGAGGAGGGTGGTTCACAGAGTTCAGCATAAACTGACGAACTTTCCAAACAAGCCTCAGGGAATATGAGAGCCGTTGCCTCAGTGCATCAGGTGTCACTTAGTGGCGGAGTGACTTTTTCCCCAAAGTAAGGAGAGAGCAAACCATCAGAAACACCAAGGAAGGAACAGATTTTTGTTGAGGGCGTCTGTGTCAGGGCTTCCGCTCAGCGCACCCTGTGTCCCTCTCCAGTAGTTCTGTGAATGACACTGACACGTGCATCTCCACACGGCAGGAAGTCAGGGCTCAGAAAGGTCAGACTAAGACCTTGCTGGCTTTGCTGGTCTTGACGGCTCAATTGCCAAAGCTGGTTCTTGTCCAGAGCTGCCTGGCTCCTAGTGTGTGCCCTTCCCACCACACCTGGTGGCCACTTTGCAGTGAGAAAATGTTTGTCATACGGTCCCATCCCCATGTGACTTCTTTAAGAAACGGAGAGGTAAGAAATGAAATAAACAGGATGGGAAACCATTGAGACTCACAAACATGTTTCCTGTATTAATTGGTGACTTACATTGTTTTTATGTTTTAGTGCCTGTCTCCTTTGGAAAATTTGTAAACAATGGGCTAGTCCTATTTCAGCAGGAGTAAAACCCATGTGTTCCAGCCCGGAGGCAGTGAGAGGCCAGCCCTCCGGGGGTGTGTGCAGACCCCTCCCTGCCGCCGCTGGGCCTCTCTGCACCATCTCCCTCTCATCCAGGCTCAGGTGGGCCAGCCGCCCTGCCACCAGGCCAGCGTCCCGAGCTCACCACGAGGAGTGGAGGGCGGCACTTTCCCCAGGAAACTGAGGTGCAGTGCTTGAAGGATCCGGAGGTGGCTGTGTTTACCTGTGTTGTAGTTGATCTCCACCTGCGTACTTCTCCTTGCCTTCTCTTTCCACTAGACGCCAGCTCCCTGCAGGCGGGGCCTCGGGGTGCCTCACCTCACTCACTGTATTTCCAGCGCTGGGCACATTTGTCTGATGGTGGCCATGCTCTCTGCCCCCTGCAAACTTACAGGGTTGAAAATTAGAGCAAAGGATGGAAATACGTAGGTTACAGGCATTTCGGGTAGAGGTTGTGAGAGCAAACTTTAAGCAATTCGCATTTCATTTGAATGAGGAGACACAGCTGGAAGGGCTTTGTGGCGCTTTCTCAGAGTTCATTTGCTTTTTGGCCATAATTTATATGATTCCTGTAGTTCATAAGGACTTTTTTTTTAACCCCTAACACTTAGAGTTCTTGCACTTAAGGTCAGTTATTAAGATTGTGAATGAAGCATTTTTAAATATATTTTTATTGATGTGTAGTCAGTTTACAGTGTTGTGTCATTTTCTGGTGTACAGCACAATGCTTCAGTCATACAGGAATATACATACATTCGTTTTCATAGAAACACTTAATAAATAAAGTAGATTTTTAAAATTTTTTTATTTTGCTTTTGTTTTTTGAATTTTTTGATGGTAACAGTTTTTAAAATTTTTTTACTTATTTATTTTTGTGGGGGGCAGGTAATTAGGTTTATTTATTTATCTTTAGAGGAGGTACTAGGGATTGGACCCAGGACCTTGTTCGTGCTAAGCATGTGCTCTACCTCTGAGCTCTACCCTTCCCCCTAGATCATTATTTTAGAATAAACTTTTTAGAAAAGATAAAACTCCTATTTTTACCCCTCTCACCGATGCCCCCCCCCCCATACCCCAGCAGCTGAAATGCAAATACCTCCTTTGGTTCTTTGTTCTTTTGTTCCTGAACTTTATCTCATGATCTCAAACTGCCTCTTAATCTCTGTCTTAGAAATTAGCTGAATTGATTCATGTGTCAGGCCCTCCTGACATGTGCCGGGTTCTGTGTGAGACACCGCAGCCTAGAGATGAGAAGGCGAGCAGGCTCCGGGGCACAGACGCAGACAATGATGGACCAGGGTGGTGGCGTGGGGGAGGATGAGCCCCAGCAGGGATCCCTGAGGAGGGGGAGGCTGAGTGCAGCGGGCAGCCTGGCTGCGGTGCCCCCGCTGTCTCAGGTCTCAACGCTGCTCCTGTGGCCCAGTGCAGTGTCTCTCTCCTCCTGGGTGAGGTGGTGTAGTGTCACCAAATTAGCTGATGTGGCCCTGACCAGCCCTGAAGGGGGAAGGCAGGACTGTCCTGCCACATTTCTAGAAGGAAGAGAACCAGAGTCACACCCAAACACCCACTCTCCCCTCTTCTTTTTATATAATGTGTTATCCTTTGTGGGAAATAGAGAAAATAACACTGTGCAAAAATAGAATATTAATCACCTGTTATGTCCACCCAGATATGGTCACTGTTAACTTTCTGATGTATGTTATGGGCAGTATATAACCGTACATACAAATGGGATCTTGCTACACGTAGCTTGGTAACTTGAGGGTTTTTAACATAAACTATCATGAGAAGTATGTTCTCATGTCAGTTAATGTACAGTTACATTTACATCGTGGTCAGTAGGAGCACGTCCTTGTATGATGCATCACAGTGTGAAACCAGTTCTTTAGAGCTGGTCATTGGGTGGCCAATTTTTTGATAATATGAACCAGACTTCCTGTCAAGGACCAAATGGTAAATATTTTAGGCCTTGTGGACCATATATGGTCTCTGTCATATATTCTTTTTTTTTTAAACAATCTTTGAAAAATGTAGAAGCCGCACTTAGATCCCAGGCTGTGGGGAAACAGGCCTGGCCTCTGTGTGGTCCCCGGGGTGACCCCTGAATCAGCGGTGCTGTGACGCACGCCGTGGACGACACCTTGTGCGCCGGCCGGGGTCTTTGGTGAGTTCTCACGAGCGGAATTACAGGCACTGAGCAGTGGACTCTGACCCCACGCCTCTTTACCAGTTGTGTTCAGTTACCTGCCAGAGAGGCCGCACCAGTTGGCGTCACCGCCATCAGAGTTTGAAAATTGCCCTTTTCCTCAGTACTTACCACTGTGGGATATTTTCATTATTTTTCTCTTTTTGCATTTTGGGAGGAAATAAATGGCATCTAAGTATCATTTGGATTTTCGTTTCTCAAATGCGTATTCTAAGCTTTCCCCTGCTTTCCAGCTCTGGGTGAGCTGTTACTGTGTGCCTAGTCCTTTTTTCTGTTGGGGTGTTTGTTTTTCTTATCATGAGAGTCCTTGTACAAAAATTACATGTAACTTTTCTTGGTTTTCGTAGCTGTGCTTTAAATATTTTCCTGTTTTCATTTACTTTTTGTTGTTGTCCTGTAAAAGGTTTTTATGATTTTACCACTGTAGTCAAATCTCCTTTTCCTTCTTAAATTTTTCATGTTGTGAAATGCTTAAAACAGGCCTTCAGACCCCAAGACAACTCATTGATGTTTTATGCTAGTTCTCTTAGAGTTCTGTTCATTTATGTGTCATTCATCTGGAATAAAGCTGTGAGTGGGGCTCTGTGTTTTTCCAGATGGTTAGCTGGTTGTCCATTGAGGAATCCTTGTTTGCCCGTCGATTGGCAGTGCAGTCTGTCGTGTGCTAAACCATCAGCTGCGTTCCGGGCTGGATGTTAGTGCCAGCCACAGAGGTAGCAGGTGGAGCTGGGTGTTTCTTGTTTGTCCTGCTTTGGGGATGGGGTGGGGTCTACAAGAACAGCTCAGTCTGGAAAGTGTGTGTCAGAATCCAGGACCCCGGTTCTGGTGCAGAGGTCTGCTCTCTGCTCTGGGGACAGCAGTAGAGAGGGCGTGGGCAGGGGGTCTGTCTGTGTCAGCATCGCACTGTGGAAGGTGTGAAGGGACAGGAAGGAGGGCAAATACAGGCTGATACTTGGACTTGCAGGGAACGCTGGGCGGGGTGACTGTCAGGGGCTTCATAGGAGGGAGGGACATGAGCCTTCAGCTCCCTCAGATGCTGAGTTGGCATGTTAACTATATTCCATCACCTAGAGAGGCGTAGACGGCCCCAACAACTCTGATTTTCCCTCTTCAGCCCAAAGGCCTTGCTGAAAATGTAGGATGCACTAGCCTTCTTTCTGTCAAATGCATTCCCAATGATTTGCAGAAAAGCAAGTTAGAGCATATTCAGTTGATTTAAACTCAGTCTGAACCTAAATGCTGTAATTCTCAGACACCTATACCTGCATAGTTGGGTTAAGTGTTTTGGAGAGTCTCTTGATATCATGGTGCTTTGAAATCAGGAAGAAGACTTAGGAGGGCACTGAGAAGTGCGTCTGTGTACGAATAAAAAGGCGTAGCTAGTCAAACAGAAGACAGTAGAGGAAGATTTGGATGGTGAAATACGTTCTAGCTTGGTATCCAGGATGAAAAACTGATTACAAAGATTTTTTGAAAGCCTTCTACACCTCAGAATAACATCATAAGTACAAATTATATCAGTGACCTGGGGAAGTGTCACCTCTCTGTGACAAGGTGTCGACAGTTTGGTGTCTTGAGATGACCTGTCTGGTGCGGCTGTGTGAGGCGACGGTCATGTCCATCCAACCAGGGCTGATGCCACCGCGGCACTGGGGCTGGGGAGGGGGCCCACCCGCTGCAGGTGGGGGCGGGCTCTCTGGCTCTCGGGTGGGGAGGGTGCTTGGCGCTGTGTCCGCCGCCCACGCTCTGACCAGTCCCTCCTCTTCCTGGCCTTCGTCTCGAGGACATCTTACCTACGGATGTGAGCGAAGGTAGCGTTTATTTCTCAGGTGTGTGGTGGCCGGGGGAGGCAACCTAAATGTCCAGGGAGCTGCTGCTTAAGTGCTGGCATCTGTACCACGGAATGCACGAGAGCCCAGAGCCCTCTGAAACGGTGACAGAAACAAATGTGAAAAAATACATAGCGCATTTCCCCACTTTCGTAAAGAAAAATGAACGTGCATCACGCACACCTGTGTGGATGACCTGGAAAAGAGGCTCGCAAGTGTGCACCAGGTGTTAATGGAGATTATTTGGCGTGGAGTTTAATATATATCTTTCCTTTTGTTTTTGTCTTTGATGAGTATGGATTGCATTTAAATAAAATAATCGTAAAAAAAAAAACCCATCCAAACATGACCCGTCCTATGTGCCGTGTTCCCACGTACTCCTTTTCATCGTCTCTCCCTCCTTTAAGTGTAAGTGGACTAAGACTTGCATCTAGAGAAATGCTTGTGACAGTAGCGTCTTCAGAAAATCCCCCGAGGGAACCAGCACTGCGGTGAGGAGCAGTGCTCGAGCTGCGGTTCAGCCATGCTGCACCGGGGCCTGAGGGTGCAGAGCTGCCCACCCGGTGCACTGCGGCTCCCGCTCAGCCCGCCCGCCGGCACCCCCGGGGCTTGCGGACGGGCGCTGTTGGGGGTGCAGGCCATCCCGGTGGATGCGGCAGCGCGGGAGGGGGTTGAGGAGCCCTGCTGCCCGGGGACAAGCGAGGCTCTCCGCGGGGTGCGGGGAAGGCTGTGGATCACAGACGTGGTTGGAGAGCCTGTGACCTCTTCCCCTGTGTTGCAGCCCCCCAAAGTGAGATGCTTGACCAGGATCTGGCACCCCAACATCACGGAGACGGGCGAGATCTGTCTCAGGTGAGTTTTTCTTGTTCCCAGCTCCCCCGCTAGCTCTGTGCACCTTGGGCTCTCTGCGTGCTCCCTCTGAGGAGGGAGAGTCTGAGGCTGGGCCCGGGTCAGGGAGGCTTTGGGCTCCACTCAGGTGAGGAGCCTGGTCTCCTGGCTCTGCCACCCCAGCCCGGCCCCTCCTCCAGCCCCATGTCCTCCTGTGTCCCCTGACGGCCTCAGTGCTGCCTGCCGTCCGCCTGGGAGGCTGCGTCTGAGGACCCGTCACCCTTACTCCTCCTGTTCATGGAAGGCGCACCCCCTCCCAGTGGCTGGTTTTAGCTCAGGGGGGGATGTGGACGGCAGGCTGCGGAAGACCCGGGCCCTCGTATCTGAGTGTCCTCCGCACGATAGTCTGCATGTGCGGAGGGGCCCTTTCCCAGAGCCTCATGCCAGCCGTGGCCTGGGTGTCCTCGCTCTGCCAGCGGCACGTGGTCCGGGCGCTTTCCTGCTTCTTAAGGTTGCGGGTCCCTCACGTAGAGAACCAGAGAAGTTGTGTGTGTGTGGGGGGGGTGATTGTTGGGTAAATTTAGCATGTGGGCTTTATTTTTCTGCGTCTTGCCACTTTCTCTACTCAGGCAGTGATGTTAACTCACAGGGGCTGCGGGCCAGGCCCCCAGCCCCGCCGCTGGCCGCCGTGTGACTGTAGGAACTTGTTTAACCCGAGTTTGGAGGGCAGGCTTGAAGTAGCTCTCTGGCGCGCTGTTTGCCTTCTCGCTGATCGGAGTCCCTCCTCAGGCCCAGCCTCTGTCTTGCCTTGTGCTTCCGCCCTTCTTCTCCCCTGGAAACGCTAGTCACCTTTGAAAGCCCACGTGCAGACTGTGACCGCTCCTCCCTGCGAGGGTGTCAGCGGCCCTTTTTCTTTCTTCAAGCGCAGTTAGCACCCACTTTCTTGTTTTATTTTTTGTGTGGAGCCCCCTTTTCTTTTTTGTGAGCTGCATTTTTTCATAGGTAGTTACATACAAATACAGTTTATAAGAGTATACTTTTTAAAAAAGGAGTCTTCCCTTTTAAGTGTCTGTCCTTTTATTGAAATTAAAGATTTGCCACCTTCAGGTTCAGGTTACAAGTGGGTTCTGGCCCAGCCTTGTCTTCCAGGCTTTCTTGAGGGTCGCCCCACTCCACCTCCTGTCACGGACCTGCTCCGGTCAGAGTTAGGCCCAGAGAGGGAATTTCTGTTGTCACTTTCTCAGTCTTCTGAGAAAGCAGACGTTAGCAAAGTATAGTAGGAATTTCACAGACGGTAGCCTACTTCAAAAGCCAGAATCCCTAAAGGAAAATCATTGATAGATTTAGCCACATTAAAATTAAAAATACAAAAACGCAAAACTGAAGGAGAAAAGATCAAAGTGACATCCTTCGTATGTATAAACAGTCCTTTCAGTCAATATGGAAAAGATGGGACTTACCCCTGGAAAAGTGAGCATCGGCTCCAAATAGGTGACTCATGGGAGGGGGAGCACAGTGGGCGGCAGGCATCTGGGGACGCTCAGTCTCCTTGGTCATCAGAGAAGGGCCCGTGGAAACAAGGAGACGCGCTCGCCACTTCTCAGATTGGCAGATGCAAAAGCAAATACTTGGGGATGGGAGAGAGAGCGTGTGTGTGTGAGTGTGGACAGGCTCTGGCGTCACTAGACAGTGCATGTATCTGTAGGCCTTTCGATGGTCCTTCAGCCACAGGCCTCACATTTACCTTGTGTGTACCCTTGGGCTTCCAGCTGCACTTTTAGGAGTTTAACTGAGGGAAGTAATGTGCCAGGTTTATGTACAAAGACAACCTCTTCGTGAAAACTAGGAAGTGTCCAGCAATGGTTCTGGGCACAGCTGACTCGCAGTGCCTTCTGAATAAAGGGAGTGACAAGCCTGGCCCAGCCACTCCTGATCTGTGGTGACTGCCGGGGAGCGCCTACCAGCCTGACCAGTGCCTGGTGCCCCGCGGGGCCTTGTCTGCTACACAGGGTGCTCGCCTCTCTCAGCGAGACTTACCTGCTCCCACCAAGGACCTGCACCTTGCTCTTGGCTCAGGGCCAGAAGTGCCATGTCTGTGAGATTGGAGGAGCCAGGTGATGGCAGTTCAGATTTTTTCTCCTAGAATCCAAGTCTCCAATGTTGTCCCATGGGTGTCCTCCGTCCCCTTGCCTGAACCCTCTCCGATGGCTGCATGGCTGTCACCTGAGCTCTCTTGGGACTGCCATCTGCTAAGGCTGGACCAGAACCTCCCCAGTGACTATATGCTCCCTTCCATGGTGTCACCCTGCCCAGATCCGTGGCCCCCAGAAATGGCCACACCTGGCTTCCAGGGGCAGAGGCTCTGGCTGTGCTGTTGGCAGTGAAGCCCAGAGGGGCTGACTGGTCAGCTGGTCAACCTGGTCGCCTGCCTTCCAGCAGCTGATGTTGGTTGAGCCCAGACACAGTGGGGAGCAGTTTGCATTCTCTGCTTTATGGGGTTTGCCAACTGGTGGGGAGATGGGCACTAAGCAGCCTACTTTACAGTCGAAATAAGTTAGATCAGAAATAATTCTTTCCCATCTTAGTAAAGAGGTCTCTCAATGGCCCATATAAACCGCTAGGATTTGGCAGTTTATTCCCAGAAAATTATCCAAAACTGGCAGAGGTTTTGTTCCCGCAGGTGAGTGGTACCCCTGCAGGGTGGGAAGGTGTCCGTGCAGGCAGATGGGGGTAGGGCGCACGATGTGCGTTTTCTTCTTTCTTGTTGTCTAATTAATGCTCCAAGTCAGCTGTAGTGAATCTTAAAGTTGGCTTTATTTATTCTAACTAATCTTCATGGACAGTTGAGATTATGGCATTGATTTGAATTCTGCGTATCTTTGTTTTCTCCCTGTCTTCATTGATTTATGTGAATTTAACATGCTCTGATTCAAAAATCTTCTTCAGCGTGACAGTTGTGACCAGGAAAGCCTCACGCTGATGCACTAGCTTAGGAGCTGCCTGGTTCGGGGGAAAGCAGCGGTCTGGTCTGACTGGGCAACACCAGGCTCCTGTCCTCACCAGGAGGACACCTGGTGGAAATCGTAATTTTTCAAAGTATGGAATCATCATTTCTGTGTGGGCATATAATGCTCATGTACTGTTGATAGCAGACGTGAGAATGACTCTTGGGTCCAGTTCACGTCACAGTGCCTCTGAAGCTCATAGGCACCTTCCCGGAGTGTGGTCCTCCCACCCCCAGGTGAGCACCGTCCAGAATTTCGTGTTACTCTCCCGTTATCTTTAAGCTTTCCCTTTTGAGCGTTTTTTTAACCAGCCATTAAAATTGTGCTAGATGCCCGTGTGGGCAGCTGTGTTCTCAGGGGGCGTGCCCTGGAGCCTGGGGCTGCCCGGTTCCTCCTCTGCAAGGTAATGGCCACCCTCTCGGTCTTGAGGCACCGAGTAAATCTAGGTTGTGCTGACACAAGCAGGAAGCGCTAGGTGTCCCTTGTTCCTGTTTGTTGTCGCCGTCTTTTTCCGAATGTTAAGTGGACAAACGCGCTTTGTGTTCTGTTCTAAGCCCGCTCCCCCGCTGAGTGTATAGTCCATACACACAACACAAGAGCTTAGGCTTGGGGACCCGTGCAGGTGTGGGGCAGGGGAGGCCTTCGGCAGCAAGACGGGAAACTGAAGCCACAGAAGGAAGGTGGGCTCATGACAAGGACGTCTCCCGTCCCAGGGAGATGGAGACCAGAGCAGCTCGGCGGCTGCGCACACACCTGCGGCCGCTCCCTGCTGACCGCTGTGCCTTTCTGTGTCTGTTTCAGTTTACTGAGAGAACATTCGATCGACGGCACCGGCTGGGCTCCCACGAGGACACTGAAGGTAGAGTGCGCGCCTTTGCCCACAGTCCCCTGGCGGACCTCACTCTGTCCCGTCCACACAGTGGCCGGGCACACCCTGCTCCCTCCCCACCGCCCGCCTTGCCCCCACTTCTCTGTGGTGAGGGTGGGGGGTCAGGTCCTCTCCTCTCCCATCTCCCCTTTACCATTTGTGCTTCTCTTTCTCTTCTGGTCTTTTTGTTCCTCCCATCCCCCATCTTTTATAGTTGTCTCACCTTTAAGGCCGTGGAGCATTGCCAGGACTGGGTAGAGACGGAGGAAAGAAAGGGAAGATGTCCTGTGTCCCTCTGAGTCACACTGGACAGAGAGAGGAAGGCTGGCAGGACACGGCCAGGGGTGCTGGCGGGGAGAGCCCTGTCTGGGAACAGGGGGGTGGAAAGAGGAGCCACAGGGACTAAATAAGTGGCCCCAGTTGCTTCTCCAACGTGACTCGGGTTGCAGGGGCGCATGTCGTGAGCGCCTGTGTGAGGCCTCCGGCTGTGCTTCACCTCAAGGCTTCTCTGTAGGATGCTGGCAGTTTCTTCCTGTGGCCTGACCGTTTAGCAGAAGTAGTCAGAACTTGCGGCTTGTATTCCCTGAGTCTGAGCCGCTCCTGACTGGCTGTCGTTTTGACTGAGCAGTGGGCCGGCTCCACACAGGCACAGCCTCTGCCCTGCCTGTGCGGGACGCTACTCCCCGGAAGAGCACTGCCCTGGGCCCAGGTTCCGGGGCAGCCTTGTTCCCATCGTGCACTTGGCATCAGCACAAAGGCATGGTCTTCTGGACCAGGCCCATCTTCGCTGGGGACTGTCCTTCTCCTCGGACGCTGGCAGTCCCACCTTTCAACCTGAAGAGGCCTCGGGCGTCAAATCAGCCTGTTTGCGAGGCCCTGAGAGCTGCCTGGGTGTCACATGTGCCGTCTCCCAGCCAGTCGGTCAGTCAGTCAGCCTCTGGTAACGTTTTCCCTCACATGCCCATTTTGGCTCAGTCAGGCGTGGATTTCAAAAGGTGTCCGAATTTAAACCACTTGTAAGTCTGAGTCTGCCAGATGCACGAAGAGCGAGCAGTGGCTGGTAACGGAGCTGCTGCGTTGGACACTGTCCCCGGGTCGCGGGGGTGAGCCTGAGCAGGGCTGGACGTGGAGCCGGGCTCTCCTTCTCTATGGTTTTTTGCAGATTAACTCTCCGGGCCCTGCCTTTTAAGATAACTTCTGCAGAAAACTAACTTCCTCCATTGTATGCTGACTTACTGGTTCACCTCTCAGAGGCCGTCCTCGCCCCCGCGCCCCGGCTTTTGAGAGGACGGAGGCCCGTTGTAGCACCGCTGCTCTTGGAGGACACGGAGGCCCAGAGGGACTTGCTCGGGTCCGAGGGGGCCAGCGGGTGACTGGGCCAGGCCTGTTCTGTATGTGACCACAGTTTGTGGGAGACAGCTGCAGACTGTGCTGTGTTGACCACTCCTGTGGCCAGAGAGGACGGTGAGGTGTTCGGGTGAAGAGCACAGGGGAGGGGTCTGGGTTCACTGCAGATGTCATGCAGTCATGACCGCAGCTCCTCACGAGGTCTGGTCTCTGCTGCCCTGGGCACCTGGCCTGCCCTTCTCTCACCATGCCCTGGACGTGTCCTGCCCTCTTGGGACTTTGCTTCTGTACCTACAGTCCCTCTACCTGGAAGGTGCCCCCTCCTGCCATCCCTTCTGGCAGGTCCCCTCTGTGAAGCCTCTCCCCCACAAGGGGGTCCTTTCTGGGAACACTTCTGTGGGCACCCTGCTGACGCGCCGGTCTGCCTAACCACCTCCACCGGACCCAGGGCTGTGTGCACCCCCAGTCCCACCCCAGGCTAGGCTCACACCAGGGCAGGGAGGGGTGCAAGGATAGGTGGATGGATGACAGAGTGCAGAGAGCAACAATTAGAACTGCAGGAGTAGAGAGTATTGGACGGCAGGGAGACAGGCCTAGAAGAGACAAGACTCAGGCTGAGGAGGAGGAAGGCCAGGAAGATTTTGTGACTCAGACAGAGCACAGGTCAGTCTAGGGAGAACAGAGTGGTCTGCAGTTTTATTTTAATGAAAACTTCTGATCTTTGTTACAGAATGTTACAAAATGTTAGTCTTGGTTTTTGAAGTAACTAAAGCAGAATTAAGACTCAGTGGGACAGCGGATGATGAGCTGATCTGTGATCCCCAAGAGGCAGTTGATGCAAAAACAACAGATTTTGTTTTAAAGATGACTTTTTAGAAGTCTGAACTGTATTTGGTAACGAAGCGTAGGCGGTGACGGGGGGTGAGGTTCTCCAGCGCAGATGCTGCCATGGGCTCGGTCTCAGCGCGGGACTGGGGGCAGTCTCTGTTGTCTCTGGTTTAGTGTCTGCTGCCTGTGACTGCTCATCTCCAAACGTCCCCGAGTTTGTGGTTATACTGAAGAGGCATTGTTTCACTCTTCTGTCTTGGGGAAAACAAGGCATGCTGAAGATAAAATTTTTTACGGTACAATACGTATTTCTTGGTCAGATTTAAAAGTCTTAAAATGCACAGGAGCCTGAAACTTGTTTTCTTCTTTCTTTGTCATTGCAGGATGTTGTTTGGGGATTAAACTCTTTGTTTACTGTAAGTACATGGACCAAAATCCCAAGTTTTTTCTAGATTCTGACTGCTGGCTTTAAGCATCACATTGAGAATAACACAAGGGAATTAAAAACAACACCGTGTCCATATTGAGCCCCCCTTTTCTTTGGTACTTTCGTGAGTCGGAAGAACAGTGAGACAGGAACTGAGGGGGGGTTGGAGTGACACATGGGGAGGCCGTGGGGCTGGGGAAGGAAAGAAGGGAGCAGAGCGTCCCTGCTTCTGCCCTGCTGGAGTGGCTGCCTTACTTCCTGGGGCCACTGCCTGCCCTACCAGTAGCCGGTCCGCAGCCTCTTCACTCTCAGGTGCCCTGGTTTGGGTGAAGGAGTTTGTGGTCACCGACCTTCAGGCTTTTCACAAACCCAGAACTTCAGAGTTGTTCTCTTCATCAGTGACCAGCGGCCGTCCCCAGAGAACAGCACCTTGCAGGCAGGGCCTGGAGGGCGGGAGGAGGCATCGGGAGAAGGAAGAGGTGGAGAGCTGGTACTTGGACTTTTTTTTTAATATAATTACTTGTTCCTTTGAGTTTGTGCTTTTTGATCATAAAGGAGCTTTAAAAAAATAAGCTTCAGGAATCTCTCTCTGGAAGAAAAAGAAAAAGGCTTTTCTACTTTTGGTAAAACCTCAGGTCCCTCCATGAAAATGAGCCCTTCCTGGACAGCCCACAATGGCGCCGGCCATCGGAGGGCCGCTTCCTGGCCGCCGGCAGACGCGCCCCTCAGCTCAGCCCAGCCCCGCGGGCAGGGCTGCTTCGCCAGCCTGTCATCTGAGGCTGCAGTGTTCTTAACCTTCAGGAAATAAAAAACAGCCTCAGAATAGACTGTCAAGTGCCTGCCTCCCTTTGCCTTCCCGTCTGACGTCACACTTCCCGATTCCAGGGCCTGCCGTAATCTCCAGGAGAAGGCGGGACCCAAGGGGTGCTGAGCCATCTGGGCAGTTTTCTGCTGGTCTCAGTCATTTGTTGTGAGTCAGGCATTTTCACTGAAGTGAATGAGGTTTTACTTCTGGAGATGCAGAGGCTGGAGCGCAGTTTAAAACGTGCCTCACAGCTGTGCTGCTCTTTTGCTTTAAAGGACAGCTGGTGCCGTCCCCTCCCTCCACTCCGCACCTTCCAGATCCTAAAGAGCCCATCAGAATTGCTCATTAAGTCTGTAATGGTCATTCGAACCAATATATTCATTTTAGGTCAAGTACATGGAAAAGAAGAGGAAGAATTTTGTGTGTCTGGTGTAGTCTTCATATGCATCGGGATTCTCACAGAACATGTGCTTTATGTTTTTTCGTATTTCTAGGACTTGGAGTCTAACTTCCCAGCTGAACAGTCGTAGAGATTTAGTTTTTCCTTGCTGTGTTTGACATGTCGGTCACACCCATGTTTATTTCCAAATCAGGAACACAGTCCCCAGATTCAACATTTCTCCTGAGGGAGAGTATAGTCGCCTTTACAGTGACCCAGTGATGGCCGTGGAAGCAGTGACTCATAAGAACCAGTCTGTCTTCCCTGGCCTGTAAGAAGAAGATCAGGCAGGGTAAAGACAGGACAGGCCTCCAGTCTGAAATCCACGGTTACTCTTGAGGGGAGAGAGGAGTAGCCATTCCAGGGCTTGTCTAAGGTGGACAGGGTCGGTGCTTCCTCCTTCGGCGGGGGGACGCTGCCCTTGTGGCACTGTCCTACATTCAGTTGGGTTCCAGATGCCATTCCTACTGGGCTGAGTGCGATGCTCATGGAGATGAATTAAAGGGAAAATCCAGGTAAGGTTAGAACAGTTCCGATTTAGGAAGGCAGAGGTGTTAACCACAAAATAAAGGAGAAAATGAATTTTTCAGGAAAAGCGAATAGGATTTTATTTAAAAATGCTCATGATAATAGTGGTTTGTCATTCCCTGATTATCAGAAATAGCGTTTGAAGTTAACATGATTGCTATTTCCTCACCAAACTTTGGGTCGTCATATGTAAATACAGCCCTCCCTTCTTCCTGTCACGTTTTGAATAAAGTACCCACATGCTAAGGACTCTGACATCAGAAGAACTTGAATTCTCAGGAATTCTCTCAATTCTTTATGCCATTTTGCCGATTAGATTTCTGTTGCCTGGTTCTTAAGATGAAGACTTGTAACAGCGGAAAAACAGATTCATTGTTTACTTTGAGTTTCTCTCTTTTTAAGGATCTTTTGAATTTTGATGATCCACTGAACATCGAAGCTGCAGAACATCATTTGCGGGACAAGGTAAGTGAGTAACGGGAACATCCTAGGTCTCTGTGTTTGGTGAAAGGATAATAACTGTTTCTTGATAAGACACATATGAAATGGAGAATGGTGGGCTCCAGGCCTGGAAGTTAAAGCCGCTTGTGAGCGATGTGTTACGGAAATGTGAGTGGTCTCGGGAAAGCGCCTGACCCAAGGTGTTTTTATTAGATGGGGTTTCCTCCTAGAGTTCAGTGTGAGTGATTTAAAACAAGCAACTCTTTTTTTTTTTTAATTTTTGTTGAGTTACAGTCAGTTCACAACGTTGGGTCAATTTCTGGTGTCCAGCACAATTTTTCAGTCATACATGAATATACGTACATTCATTTTCACGTTCTTTTCCACCGTGAGCTACAAGGTCTTGAATATATTTCCCTGTGCTGCACAGTGTAAACTTGTTTATCTCTTCTATATATATCTGTCAGTGTCTGCAGATCTCGAACTCCCAGTCTGTCCCTTCCCACCCCTGAAACAGGCAACTCTTGCCTTATGACAGCGTAGGGACCGGAAGGGACATGAAGGGAGTCGCACCCACCAGCGCCGCCCGCCCCCTGCCCAGCAGGTCGTGTCCCCCGCCCCAGGAGCTCCGGCCCACGTGAGCCGCTCGGGTTCAGGCCCACAGTGCTGGGATCATGTTTATTACTCTCAGCCTTCAGTTCCTTTTTCTGTTGTTGTTCTAACTTTTCCCTCCAAGTCAGTGCGTAAACTGTCACTCACTCGTTTTAGGGGCTGTTGAACACTGTTCTGTGAAGTGGTTCTTCCAGCCTTTTTCCCCCATCTTTTATTGGCGGGCACTCAGGTTTTTCCTGTGGGACTTTTTTCCCGACTACAAATGATAAGGCAATAAACATCCTCTGTGCCCCAACCTTACGGAGCGCGTGAATGAGGCACCGGTCTGCCCCAGGAGTCCGGGAGCCGGCCGCGTGCGCCGGGGACGGGGCTGCTGGAGGTTGTGCAGGAGCTAGTCAGGCCGCCATGGACGGCATTGCGGTGCTGACTCCGTGCAGTCACAGGACCCCACATTTCCTTCTCTGAACCAGAGTCCCCGCGAATCCTTGCCTCCCCTGGGAGGCACCCACCTAACGCTGTCGGACGGGCTGGCGCTGCTCTGAACATAGAAGTTCTGAAAGCCATCACGTTGGTTCTGAGTATGGTGCTTAGTGTTGAGAGCGGTTGTCTTTGTTTGTGTAAGGCCTGTGTGCTAGCACGTGCAGGGCACTGTGACTGTGCCATGTAGGACGGTCCCATGGTCCTGAGCCAAGGAGCAGAGGCACTGCCTGAGCAGGGCCCTGAAGAGTGGGCAGGAGGCCCGGACTGGGACACGAGAGCCCGACCACCCAGCCTGTGTCCTGCGGCGGCACGGCGGGCAGCATTGAGGCTTGCAGCCGCACTGAGGGCGTCAGGTGCTTCTGGACAGGCGGAGGAGGCGGTCTGGGAGGCCTGCGTCCTGCTGAGGGTCCCCGGAGACAGCAAAGGTCTTAGGTCCTCACTGCTCACCTGCCTTCAGGGGTCAGCTGTCTGCACCCTTGGGCGGCCCTGGCTGGGCTGTGTTGTCTGGCAAAGCCTTGGTTTGTCCACTGCGCTGACAGGCCCGTGCAGGTGTGCTCCTCGGCCCCCGGCCTTCGCAGGAGGCTCCATTCATGTTGGAAGTCCACCTGTCATTGTCGCGGACAAGGACTTCCGCACTCTGTACTGTGACAGCTGGCAGCCCTGCAGACTAAACCTTGTCAGGGAAGAAACGCCCTACAGAGCCAGGTGGAGAAAGATGTTACATATTGTTTATCCTTTTATTTTTCTTGGAAGGTTGTTTCCTGATCTTTGTATGAAGTAGGAAAAGACTTGGAGGTCACAGACAGATCTCATTTTGTTGTGCTTCGCAGATAACAGTTTATTTTGTGTCAAGTTCTCAGAGAAAGCCTTTCTGGTGAGAGGGGAATTGAGATCTGCTGTGAACCAAGTAGACAGGAAGGAAGTATGTTCCAGACTGTCAACAGCAGTGCAAAGGCCCTGAGGCAGGAGTGTGCTCAGGGTGTCCAGCGGAGAGTGTGGAGGCCAGTGTGACTGCAGTAGGGTGGCAGGGGTCCGCAGTGACCTGACAGTGGCAGCCACCCTGAACAGCCCTCCTGGGTGCCTGGCACTGTCCCACCTAGTCCCCAGGGTGCCTTTGTCCTCCTGACAGCTCCACACGGAGGGACTCTTGCTGTCTCTCATTTGCTGCTGAGGAATCAGGGCCACCAAGAAGGTTAAAAAAAGGCTTGCCAGGAAGGGGCAGAGTCCAAGATTTGCCTCCAGAGTTCATGCCTTCTCACGGGTCCTCAGAGGGAAGGGGGAGGCTGCAGAGGCCTGTTCCAGAGGACTCCTCACCTCTGGATGAGAAGATGAGGCAAAGGGGGTTAAGACTATGCTGAGGCACCTTTGGTCCTGACGTCGGGGCTCTGGGGGTGGAGGTTGCCTGTGGGATCCTCACAACACCCTGCGAGCTTCGGCCGCGGCTCCCTGGGAGCTGATGGTGTTGTTGACTTCAGGGTACTGTGGAAGTGACCTGGTGAGAGTTTTCTAGAGGTACGCCAGGGCTTCAGCACAGCCCATGTTTGCTGCAGGCGGGGGCTGCAAGGGAGCCTCTGGACACTGTCCTGGGACCAGTGCAGGCCCCCTGGCATGCGGTCACAGCTCTCTACTTACTCACCTGAGACACCTTTCCCAGAGCTCTGGAACCAGGCACCCGCCCCCATCTTGAGAGTCACCGGGTGAAGTCATTGCTAAGAGGAGCGAGTGGCTCTGCTCCAGCCCTCCCAGCATGGCTCTGGGAGAGACCGGCGTGGGGCAGCAGCTCGCCGCCACAAGAGGGTGCCCGTCTGCGCCGCCGGGGCCGAGGCCGCGCGACCCCGTGGGCAGCTGTGTGCTGGGAGCCTGCCGTCAGGCCACGTGCTGTCCGCCACCAAATGCGGGCGGGCGTGCTGAGGTGGATGAGCGAGGGCCCCTCGCAGTCCTGCCAGGACAAGGAATTTTGCCTCTCCCCTTTGAGAGAAAAGGCCTGGGGACAGGCCCGTGGGGTGGGCTCAGGTCTGAGGTGAGTCACCACATCCACACAGCCTTTTTACAACTGGGGGGTCCCCCCAGGCTCCTGGGTGGCCTCTGCTCGACGCCCAAGGAGGGGCTCTATAGCAAGCCCGCCCCTCCTCGGGCAGGGAGGTCGCCCTCCGGGTGGGCTGTGGCAGGGTCCTGGGGAGACACAAGGGTCTTCCTGAGAGCGGCAGCCCGTGACTCATACGTGTCATGACCTTGACCCTGCTGGTGAATCTCACTCTCCCACCTGCAGGACCCAGAGTCTTGGGCTCCCTTCCGCCCAGGGCTGCTGTTTGCATCCCGCCCCAGCACCCCAGCTCAGTTGTCGTGCCCGGGGTTGGGGGGGAGTGTCTCCCACCACCTCACCAGACCCTCCACACTCCAAGAGCCCCAGGGGTTCTTGGCTCTGGTGCATCCGACTTGTTGTTGAAGTGTCAGCCCCCACTAACCCCTCCTCCTCCCCCCATCCCTCTTGCCCACAGGAGGACTTCCGGAGTAAAGTTGAAGACTACATTAAGCGCTACGCCAGATGATAGCAGGAGAAGACTGCAGGGCCTGGACTGTGTCTGAAGTTTGTCTCCAGCTGAATCCAGGCGGGAGCCTCCTCCCCAGTCCCCTGCTCCCCTCAGTCCCGCCGCGTCGTGCGAGTCCTGTGACCACGCCGTCCTGGGGAAGAACCTCTTCACGGCTGCCCATTGTAGAGAGAGTCCCACATAAATACAGCAAGGAAGTGTGCTCGCAGTTCTAGGGTTGTCTGCTTACCTTCACGTGTTTACTTTTCTGAAACCGTACTGTACAGGCTGTCGATGAGATTCTTGAGGAGTTGTAATGAACTCAGAACTGAGGCTAGAGCTTGCTTCTCCCCTGTCCCCAGAGTCCGTTCCCTGCACAGGTGATGCTAATGACCTGCTCAGTGTAGCTCGCAGGTTGGCGATCAGAACCCGCTGCAAACTGTGATTGGATGCAAATTCTCTTAGCTCCTTCCACGAGTGTTGGCCCTGCCTAGGTGTCGTGAAGCTTCCCAGAATTCACTGTAGATCTCTTACTGAAATGCGTATTTTATTTAATGTAAGTATATTTTGGAACAGATTTGTAATTTGTACGACTTAATGCTTTAATTATTTTTTCTATCCTCATTTAGTTTGTATTTTCATTGTATAGAGCAGACAGAAAGATGTTGGGTCATGCAACTATTGAAGAGAAATACAAAGAAAATATGAAAAACACATTATTCATTCTGTCCAAATGCAATGAAAATTTGGCTTTTAAAAATCAGCTCTTGTTTTCAGGTCCAGATGGGGCAAAGAAGTTTCAGGATCCTTTGAACCTAGATCTGGATGATTTAAAAAAAAAAAAAAAGGGTGCAGGGAGCCCTTCCTCACATGCTGCCCAGAGGAAATAGGTTGGAGGCCACTCCAGCCAGGGGCCTGGTGTTTCTGCAGGGGTCAGGGGCTCATAAGCCAGATCCTCATGTTTTGGGGCATGGGAGCGAGACCTCAGGAATCAGCCCAAACATGTCTGATGCCAGAGACTGTACCTGTGGCCTTCTGAGCTTGCTCTGGCCCCAGGCCTGTCTAGGGTAAGTCCCAGAGAGCTAGGAATCAGCAGCAGCATCCGCCAGCCTCAATTCAGGCCCGTGACTTCAGGGTAAAGACATGGAAGAGAGGCAGGTGGATTTACTCCAGCCTTAGACGTCTGGACCAGTGAGATCAAGTGCAGAATAAATGTTTGTATGGCTTCATCTGCTGCCTGCTCAAGTTTAACTGGCAGCCTCCGTAGACCTCTGAATTCCCCCCAGTCTGCCATCTCCCTGGTCTTGTGTGTTTTTCTTAATTTATTACACAATCTCTGATTATGAGATCAGTTTGTCCTGGAGATCGGCAGGGGCGGAATATGGGGCCCCACTTCCCATTGGTAATCAGGGATTGTGCCCTTTCGGCTGGAGGGTGACCCCTGCTGCTGGGCCACACCTCTGGTGCACAGAGTAGGAAGGCAGGGCCTGGATCAGGGCTCGCTGGCATCTCAGTGTCTCAGGGCCTGTTGGGCACAGTAATACCCACCTCTCCAGGCCTGAGAACAGTGCTCCAGTTCACGTGCTTTTAGTTGGAGTGCTGCCCAGTGTCACAGGAGCTCGCCAGCTGGCCTTAGGGCCGTCCTCTGCTCGGGGGTCAGGAGAGCAACAGCTGGCCACCCACACGCCTGATTCGTGCCCCTGCGAGCCAGGGCACACTGCTGTCTGCCAACTCCAGCCAAGTCATCTCCCATCTCAGCTGTCCCAGCAGTCCCAGGCTGCACCCTGAGGTGCGAATGGAGGTGGAGGAAGGAAGGCAGTGCCCGGTGTTAAGTGGAGGCGTGTGATGGAGGTAAGACTGCCTCCCCCAGACCAGACTGAAAGGGATCATGTCCATTGTTAATACTGACCTCACACAATAGAAAGATACTTTTCTTCTCAGGGATCAAGTAATTCTTCAAAAATGACATTTCCCCTTTCCCTGGTACCTCCATTAAAATAAATAAATAAACCTAATTATTACCACCCCCCAAAATAAAATTTTTTAAAAATTTAAATTAAAGGAAAAAAAAGACATTTCCCCACAGCTGGGTCGTCCCTTTCCGTCCCATGGCAGTCCCTCACAGGTGTCTGCCTCCCTGCCCCTCCCACGTTGCTAAGGCGCACACCTAGCCCGGCCCATCTCTGTGACCCCCGGTGCTGGGCTGGGTGCTTGGCCGGGGGGCCTCTGGCACCTTTTGGCTGCAGGACCCTGACTTCCAGGACTTTGGGTTTCTTGGGGTCTCTTTCCCACTTTTAGGCCAAACTGACATTCTGGCTGTGATTGTGTGCCCCGCAACCTAGTGATAGTTGATGATTTCTGATCTACCAGGGGGTGGGGATGCCCAGCCAACAAGGCCAGCCCTGGAGCAGAGAAGGGTGGAGCAGGCCTGGGGGACGTGATGGCTCTGACGTTCATTCGGGTCCCCATGACTCGACTGCTTCGAATTTGACGTGTCAGCTGCATGTTTTTCAAGCATACTTGGAAGGGACAGCTGAAGGGTAGCCCTCTCAAGGGAAAAGTCGCGTCTCCCCTCTTATAGTCCTTCAAACACAACACCTGCAAGCTACCTCTGCAGTCTTTCTGTGGAGCCAGGGTGAATGTTCCTCGGATGCTGAATGCTGATCTCTCAGCTGTGTGCCTCCTTGCCCTGCAGCCCTGGCCCCACTCCTCATGTGTGCTCTCCAGCCACTGTATTTGGGTTGTTGCAGGACGTGGTCCCCAGGGGCAGCATCTTGGGTTTTGGTTAACTTCGCAGGACGCCCTGCCTTGCTTGTCCTTACCTCCAAGTCCTGAGAGCCTTAGAGGCCTGCTGGCGTGGTTTGCACCAACCTGAGATTCGGTCAGCGTGTGCACCTGCTAGAGAAGATGCCGCAGTACAGAAATGAAAAAGTTCATGTAAAAACTGCATAGTATGCAGACTGTTCGCGGTACTATAGTGTTTTGAATATACAGTCTTTAAAAGGAGCACATACCTTAGTATTTGCAGTTTAAATGTTCCAGAGTGTCCATGCCTGTTTCCTTCTGCCCGTAGGTACATTCCTGGGGACTTGAATGCTTGTCTAGAAAGATTTCACAGGTGCAGAAGGCAGCCGTGTCCTTCCCTGTGACTTGGCCACAGCCAGGTAGGTCTCAGCAGAGTCCCAGGCCCACTCTCAGGACGTCTGGTGGCAGGGCTGGCATGTCTTTTTCTCAGGACAGCAGACGCAGATGGAACAGTCCTGCTGCTGGGCCCAGGACCTTAGCAACAAAAACCTCGGGGGGCAAGTCCCAGAAGCAGTGGTGGTCACCAAGACGTACTGCGTGCCTTCAGGGGACAAAGCCCTGTTCCTGGGTTGCTCTGTTACCCCCACCTTTCCTTCTTTAAAGACCTGCTGTGAGAAAAGACCGAATTCCTGTTTGCATCCGGCTTGTTGCTGATTTGATGATCAAATCAAACAGAACTTTCTTCATATAAAAAGTCCAACAAGATGTTAGCCACCAGTTGCAGCTTTAACAAGGCCTGTTCCTGGCTAGGACTGTCTGTTCCAGGATTGTTTCGCTTTCATCCACTTAAAAGTGTTTATTCTTGGAAAATCAGGTCTCCTACAAGTTCATCATTCTTCAAAAAATAGTGTGTCTAGTAAAATCCTAATATATAGTCTTAGTAAAATAGTGTTTTGCTTTTGCTCTGCCAGAGAGGAACTTGGAAAATGAGAAAACCTGTCGCACCCCTTTTCTCCCTCATATAATCTTGCCTCAAACAAACTAAAATCCAACAGATTGGAGGGGCCAACTCAAAGGAGTGCTTATCGCCCATTGAAGTTACCACCCATGCCCTGGGTTTCCATGGGGTGCCAAAGTTGATTTATTTAAAGAATTGTGGTTTGAAAGAAGTTCTTTTAAAAATCCAGTGATGGAGGCATTTGGGGGCCTTGCATTGTTAAGAATGTCTGTTTATTCATGTTAAACTGTATAGAGAACTAACATAACCTCTTAGAATCCATTTTAGGCTTCATTTTCATTGCCAAATTCACTGGGCTGGAATTCTTCCGGTAAATTCACTGTGGTTTTTTGTTTGTTTTTTGTTTTTTAAAATCTTGTGGCCGGCTGGAAGAAACAGTCCATGTCCCAAGGGTCCCCAGTGCTGGGGGAGAGACCCCGGCCAGGCCCCGTGCCCCACAGGCCGGGACAGGTGCTGGGCAGGGCAGCCGCAGGAGAGACTGCGAGCCTGTGCGGCCTGGCTCCTCACCTGCTCTCCCCACAGTTCACATCCAGGAATGTCCTTTCCCTGCTCAGACCCCTGTGTGAGGCCTGTCAGGTCTCCCTGGCCGGGCAGGACACACTTGTCTGTGTTGGGTTTTTGGCACCTCAGTGTCAGCCCGCTCCTTCCCCACAACTGCTGCTTCCCGTGCGCTGCCTGGTGCTTGCGGGAAGGATGATTTGGTCTCTTAAACCGCTCGTTGTCAGACAGCTCTCTTTGAAAATACGTTCCCACCTCGGCAGCCCTGTTCACCCGCATGCCTGCCTCCCCTCACCAGGAGGACGCTGGGAGCCAGAAGCTGGGCGCGGCGCTGTGGAGAAAGAGCCTCGTCCTCAGAGGTTTCAGCCTCGAGTCAGCGTCTGGGAAGAGAAGCCCTGTGTTCCTGGTGAGCACCAGGCTCTCGATGGAGAAGCAGATGCAGGTGGCATCCAGTGTGCTTGCCGCATGCCTGGCCAGACTGGTCAGCGTGCTGGGGGCAGAAGCCGCATCTGAGTGAGTGAAAACCTGACCACAGGTACAGACGACGGTTTCGAGACACTGGACACCTGGCAGTGCAGGACAGCAATCCCTGAATGAGACGCGCCTGGTTCCCGACCTCGGCATAGCGACAGAAGACAGCCGGCAGGCACTCTGACTTGAGATGAAGCCACGGTCCCAGGACGGAGGGCTGCGCAGAGCGCGAGCACTGAGGGCAGGGAAATGCACCACCCAAAAGAATCTGAGAAGATGATGCTTGGAGCTCACACGAGGCCAGGAGTAGTCCTCGTTCCCACGAGCCAGCATGGAAAACCCTGTGATTCACAGGGCGCTGGGAGGGTTCTCAGAAGAGGACTGGCTCAGTAACAGGAAACCACACGCAAGACTACCCTGGTCCCACCAGAAATCTGAAAGGCAAGCCTCAGAAGGGTCAGTTAAGGCAAAGTTACCGTCCCAGAACAGAGACAAGTAGGGCTTGTAAAAGCCCGGAAACTGCCGCAGGCAGCGACCAAGCCCCAGAGCCTCTGTCTCCGGGGTCCCGAGACCGCCGTCCCCTGAGCAGAGGCAGCAGGGCAACCTGGGCGGACAGGACCTGCAAAGGAACCCCGCCTCGACCAGCACCAGCCCCCAGAGCCTCGGCCACCACAGGCCTGACGCTCTCCACCATTTGGGGACACTGAGGTGGTCGGACAGCACTGACGGGGAGCCCCCCAACCCGAGCACCCGGCCAGACAAGTCCCTCCCAGCTCACCCCTGATTGCCCTTCCCCACTGAGAGGCAGCGGTCGGCCCTGCCTGGGGAAGCCCCAGCACCGGGCGGGCCACGCAGGCCGAAATGACACTGCAGAGGCTCTGGGCCCCCGGGCGCTCCTCTGCCTGCTGACGGGAAAGATGTAAATGAGACTCAGTCTCCTGCCATCATAGACAAGATGTCCAGGACACAGGTGAAACCGCTCATCATACTGAGAACCAGGGAAACAGCAACTTTCATGAGAAAAGACAATGAGCCGGTACCAGTAATGAGGTGAATCAGGTGTTGGAATGATCTTACGAGAATTTTAAAACATCTGTCATAAAAATGCTTCAAAACTTGATTATAAATGTTCTTGAAACAAATGAAAAAAGTCAACAAATAATTTATAGAAAATAACCAAGTGGAAATTATAGAACTAAAAGATTCAAAAACAGAAGATTTTAAAACTGGGATGGCCTCAGTAGTAGAATGGAAATGAAAAAGGACAGAATCAACAAACTTGAGGACAAATCAATAGAATTTACTCAACCTGAACAACAGAGAAAAACATTTAAAAAGAAGAGGGTGGACAAAGCTGCAGGGACTTACGCGGCAGTAACGGAATAACCAGCATTCATATCATCTTGATCCTGAAAGGAGAGATGGAGTGAAGCTGAAGGAGTATTTGAAGAAATAAGCCCCTGAAAACTCCCCAAATCTGGTGCAAGACAAAATCTTGACAGATTCAAGAAGGTGAATGAATTCCAAGCAGGATAAATACGAAGAAGTCCGTGCTCAGACACGTCCTAAATAAAACTTCTGAAGACTAAAAAGATCTTTAAAGCCATCAGACATGGTGCATTGCCCATGGAGGACACCAATCTGAATGACAGTGAGTTTCTCCTCAAAGCCATGGAGGCCAAAAGGAAGTGGCGTGACCTATTCATATGCTGGGGGAAAAATAACTCACAAACTCTGTCTCCAGCAAGACTTTGCTTCAGGAATGAAAATGAAGTCAAGATATTCTCAGATGAAGTAAAACTAAAAGCATGGTTTCCAACACACCTGCCCATGAAGACCGGCCAGGAGAGGTTCTCGGAGCAGAAAGGAGAAGATACAAAAGCATCTTCGTAAGTCATATTTGATGCTGAAGTAAAAAACCATGCCGTTTGGCCCTCAAGACGGTGATACTTCAGAGTGGAGAAGGGAAGGGAACTCGGTGCGGGGAGGCCTCCTGCTTCACTTGAAGAGGCGGATGGCGCTGTCAGGAGACTTCATCAGCTCGTGTCTGTGGTGATATGCAGAGCAGCCACTAGGAAGAGAGACACAACCACCAGTGTGAATACGAGTGAAATCAGCAAAACTGACAAAGAACCTTTGAAAAACTTCTTCCCCATAAATGCAACAAGAAAACTGGCCGGAATTCTCCGAGTCAGCTTCTTCAGAACTCTGGGAATTAACCAGAGGCTTGAGCACTCCAAGGAGCATTTGCCCCAACAGGTCTCTGCAAGCACAGCAGGTTCATGGCGTTCTCGCGGACGTGAGCCCCGTTCCCCACTCTCCAACTCCACAGTGGCCTTAAAAACCCAACACCCCACATTCGCAATGTAACTTGAATTACCAGAGGACACAGAACGTGACTGGAGCTCCTTCAGAGCCTTATGTCCAGAGCCTGTCATTACAATTGACCCTTAAATAATATGAGAGTTAAGAGCGCCAGCCCCTCCACCACACGTGTGGCTGACCGGCTATATATACATCAGGAGTTCCCGTGACCCTCTCCTTGGGTTCAGTAATTTGCTAGAACAGCTCATAGAACTCAGGAAAAGAGTTTCCTTACTAGATTACAGGTTTATTATGAAATGATACAACTTAGGAACAGTCAGACGGAAGAGATGCCTAAGGCAAGGTGAGGAGAAGGGGCGCGGAGCTTCCTTCCCCTCTCTGGGGTGCCGCCCTCCCAGCACCCCGACATGTTCACCAGCTTGGAAACTCTTCAGCTGGGGTTTTAATGGAGGCTTTGCTAATGTAGACATAATTAGATCATTGGCTACTGATCATTAAATTAGATCTACAGCCCCTGTCCCCTCCTTAGAGGTTGGGGGTGGGAGGAGGCTGAACATCCAGTCCTCTAATCATGTGGTTGGTTTCCCGACCACCAGCCCCCTTCCTTAGGGGCAAGCTCGAGCATGGTTGAGAAGGGCCTGTCACACATAACGGAAGATGTTCCTCTCATCTTTATTACTCTTGTCATGTAGTAAACTCCAAGGGTTTTAGGAACTCTGTGCCAGGAACAGGGACAGCGTGAACACGCATTTCTTACTATCATTACCAATATCAGGGAGCCACTAGGGAAGTGCAAGCCAAGACCACTTCACACCCACCAAGACAGCTAAAGTAAAAGCAGACATCACGTGTTGCTGAGGGTGTTGAGAAACTGGGAGTCTCTGCTAGTGAGGATGGCAAATGCTGCAGCTGCTTTTGAAAACATTTTGGAAGTTCTTCTGGTTAAATAGGAAGTTACGTGTTACCCAGCAGTTCCACCCCTAGTTACATTATCGAGAGAACTGAAAACATCTCCATGCGAAAGTCTGGACATGAATGTTCAAGGGCAGCATTATTCATAATCGTCCAAAACTGGAAACAATCCAAATGACCATCAAGGGATGAATGGAAAATGAAATGTGGGCTAGCCAGGCAAAGGGACGGTAGTCATCAGTAAGAGAGGATTGTTGAATCGTGCTCCAGCCTGGACTGAAACCTTGAAAACATCCCAACTGAAAGATGCTAGACACAGAAGGCCACACGCTGTATGACTCCATTTATGTGAAATACCCAAGAAAGGCAAATTATAGAGATGAGAAGTAGCTTAGTTGTTGCTGGGGGTGTGGGGTAGAGGAAATGGGGGTGAATGCTAAAGAGTACAGAGTTGCTTTTTGGGGGTGATGAAAATGTTCTGGAATTGGATGGTAATGGTTGTGCAACCTTGTAAGCACTAAATTATACACTTCAAAAGGTGAATTTTAGGGTATGTGAATTATATCTGTTTTTAAACATTGAGAAATCAAGATGGAATATTGAAAAGTGTTCAAATTACCCACAGGAAGGCAAGTAAAGAGAAACAGAATTGAGAACCAGATGCAACAAATAGAAAACAAATAAACTGGTAGATTTAAGAGCTAAGATTAATAATTATATGTAAATGGTCTAATACTCAAAAGACAAAGATCTGCAGAGTGGATAACTGTAGTTTGGGAGAGCTGCTACCCTGGTGGAAAACTGGGTAAAGGACTTTGCATCATTTTTTACAACTACATGTAAACCTAAAAGAATCTCGATAACGTTTTCCATTAAACTATATATCCAGCTCCCAAGAGGGAAAAATTCCCAATGCCTAGTATTTAAAACAAAACTACAAGGGATGCAAAGAAGCAAGAAAACAAGACCCTGGTAAGAGGGGGGGAAAATCACTCAACAGAAACACACCCAGAAATGGCAAACATGATAGAATCAGGAGACCACAGCATTAACACAGTTAAAGAAGACAGAGGAAAGATTGCTCATGTTAAGTAAAGATACGGAAATATAAAAAGGACATAAATTCAACTTCCAGAAGAAAATTACATACATGTGTGTAATGAAAAATACACTGGATGGGTTTAACTACAGATTACATGTTGCTGAAGAAAAGATTCATGAATTTGAAGACAGAGCAATAAAAACAATCCAAAATGAAAAACAGATAGGAGTGGGGGAGCTAGGAAATAAAAATCTCAGAACTTCAGTGAGCTGTGGGACAACTTCAAATGGCCTCATAAACTTTTAATTGGAGTCCCCAAAGGAGCAGGGGAGAGAGAAAATCATTCGAAGGTACAATTACAGAACTTTTTCCAAATTGATAAACACTACAGACTCACAGGTACAAGGTCAACAACTTTAAAGCACAAGAGCGTGAGGAGAACCACACCAAGTCACATTCTAAATGGCTTAAAACCAGCGACAGAGCAAAAACAGTAAAAGCAGGCAAGAAATGAAAACAATACATAAAGGAACAAAGGAAAGGGTGACAGATTTCTCGTTGGAAACAATGCAGGCAAGACAACAGTGGAGAAAAATCTTTATTGGAGGAAAACACTGAAGCTAGAATTCTGCACCTAGGGAAGGGATCAGAGATGAAGGCAAAATAAAGACTCTTCTCATACGTACAAAAGCTGAAAGAAGTCACGCCAGCAGACTAGAGCCACGAGAGGTTCTGAACAAAGTCCTCAGGCAGACGCAGCATGATTTGATACCAAATGGAAATGTGGAACCAGGGTTTCCCAGCCTGAGCACTACTGATATTTGGGGCCGGATCTGGCCCCAGACTGGGCAGTCCTGCGCGCTGTAGGGTGTTTGGTAGCGCAGGTAACCTCTCCTCTCTGCATCCCAGGAGCACCCGCCCTCCAGTTACGACAACTGAAATTGTCTCTAGACGTTGTCAAATATCGCCTGGAGGGAAGACACTCCCAGCTGAGAATCACTGTATTAGATGGAAGTTTCTTTTCTTACATATTTTTCATCTCTTTATGCTTTCGAGCAATAGTCTGAGAGAATTCCTATGCTCAGGCACTTAGCTCATTAATTCACTCTTTATGCCTATTCTACTCAGCCCATCTATTGATTAAAAATAGACTCTTTTTTACAGCAGTTTTAAGTTCACAGCAAAACTCAGCAGGTGGTAGCGTTCTCACAGGGCCCTGCCCCTACACCTATAACCTCTTCTACTGACATCACACAGATGTAACGTTTGTTACAATTGATGAACTCTACTGACACATCATTGTCACCCACAGTCCACAGTTCACACTGGTGTTCACTCTTGTCGTTGCACATTATATGAGTTCTCACAAACGTCTAATGACATGTACCCATTTATTATAGTATCGTTCAAAATTGTTTCACTGCCCTACAACCTCCCGGGACTCTATTTATCCTTCCCTTCCACCCAATCCCTGGCAACTCCATTGAGGTTTTAAACCTCAGTTATTATAGTTTCCAGCCAATATGTTTTTTCATTGTTGTCTGTTCTTGTTTTATGACTGCCTTTTTAAAGAATAAAATATCCTCTTACCTCCTTGGAGATCTTACCTCTATTGAAAACTTACTCCAATAGCTCTCTCACTTTCCCCCCTTAGTTCCGAGTTCTGTTTGTCGCAGGCACTATCTCACTTTCATGGAGATGGCATTCCTCAAATATTTAGTCTTTATTGGGCACTTCTTTCGTGACTAAGACATGCTGTTAGGGCGTCTGTTGCATCTGTCTGCCCAGCCCACTTGGAGTAGCCGTGGCTGCTGCTGCATGTCGCACCATACGCTGCTTTTAGTAAGAGTAGAGGAGAGGCCAAACTGCTGCCTCAGCACTGGTCCTCTGTATGTGGGTACCACCAGCCGTGTGGGACGTCATCTTGTCTCTGACTGTATCTGCCTGGAAATAAACCCGCTAACTGCTACATGTGGGTCCAAGGAGTGCTTGAGGTGAGTCACCTGGTCAGTTGTCCCTGGGCCCCTTCAGCTCCCATCCTTATAGCCTTCCATATAGATTTAGAAAATGAAACTCGCCCCTACTTTTCAACCCCCCCCCACACTGTCCCCACCTTTGCTCTTAACCTCAGGCCTTCTCACTGCCTCCAGGACTAGCACTTTTTTCTCTCTTATCTTCAGCTTCCTGGTTAGCTGCCTGCCTTCAGCCTGTGAACATGTTCAGTCTTACTAAAATATTTCCCCTTCATCTTGTACCCCTCTGACCTCCTTCCTTTCTCAGCCTTTTGAAGAGTTGACTACATTCCCCACTATTCCTTGTCCTGTTCCTTCCTCAGCTCTGCACTCCCTTCCCTCTCGCCCATGCTCTAGTGAAATTTCTCTCCTGAATTCATGAGTGTCTCCTGACTTGTGTACAGTAGACACTTCAGATTTCCTCTCAGTTGCACGATGTACTCTGACATTCTTTCGTTAGTCTCTTTCCTTTCCTCCCCTTTTGACTGGCCTTGAGTTCTTGCATATCTATTTGCTTCTTAAATTTAGGTGTCCTTTGTTCCTGGCTGCATTTGGCCAGAAATGAGCTTGGTTTGCAGGCAAGAATGAAAGGAATTAAAGAATCCAGAAATGTAGAAACTTGCAGAGCTGGGAAAGACAATTTCTTCTGGACACCAACATGCGATAAAATTGAGAAAGTACAAAAACTCACTTAAAATTCAGCTTGTTGGCAAAGCATACCTGAATTCAAATTCTGGCCCCATTACCCCTGGCGCGAACTTGGCAAGATGCTGACCGTCTCTGTACCTTACTTTCCTAATGCATGAAGTGGGGCTAAAGGTACCCACTTGATACGGTGTTACCAAGATTAAACTAGTGAATACACGAAAGGTGCTTGGAATGGTGCCTGGCACATCTCAGGGCTCAATTAAACTTAGAAACTTTTTTTGCCAAAAAGGCAAGAGATGGTGGATGGCTTCACTGGAATTCAAGAATCTGAATCTCTGCCCTCACCGCTTTCACAACTGACTCGTGTTTGGGTAGAGAGGATACGCGATCACAGGCGTTTCATCTGACTGTTGCAGACAGCTGGGCGCGGCCAACACTCAGCCCGGCCTCCCACCCCGCCGTGTTCCTCCCTGTCCCGTCCGTCGCCCCCTCCCTCGTGCCCCGCGTCCAGCGGTCCCCACCGCTGCCTATTCCACATCCTGAGTCTATCCCGGGCCCATCTTTCCGGAGATTTGCGCCCCGGGTTAGTGTCCCTCATCTCTTGCCTTGGCTTCTCTAACAGCCTCCACCTGGCCTCCCGGCCTCTCCTCCAGACCCCTCAGGCCCGCGCTCCGGAAACGAGCCCCAATTTCACCCAGAGTCACCTACGGAGAAGGTAGACTCAGGGAGGAGCCTCCGGCACCGGGCAACCCGCCGGCCTCGGAAGACCGAGGCTCCCGCTCCAGCGGGGCGGACGCACGAGGACCCCTCCC